AACACTACTGGTTATCAACAAACCGACAGTGTTGTCTTGCAAAACACTGCCGGCTTGAGCCATGAACCGACAGTGTTGTCTTGTTCAACACTGCCGGCTTGAGCTATCAACCGACAGTGTTGTCTAGATCAACACTGTCGACTTGAGCCATGAACCGACAGTGTAGGCTTGCTCAACATTGTTGGCTTGAGCCAAGAACCGACACTCTTGAAGCAACCATCACTGTCGGTTGGGACTACAAACCGGCAGTGTTGTTCAACTAGACACTGTCGGGTGGAGTCAGAAACCGACACTGTTTCCTGCAGATCAGTGTCGGTTTTTAAGAACCGACAGTGATGTTAACCCCTCATCACTGCCGGTATGCCACTGTCGGTTCAAAATCCGGCAGTGAAGGGGGGTTTTGAACCGCCAGTGATGTCCAGATCTGGAGTAGTGCTACCTTGCAGTCCTTGAGGAGGAGCACCAGGCGTAAGCACCACACTTTGACCACCCATCGTCAAGGGTGGGCGGTGGTGTCCTCCTCCTCCGACGATGATGATGGTGGTGGTGAGGAGGCTGCTGCAGGTGCTGGTGAAGTTGCAGGTGGTGATGATGTCGATTGGGTAAACATCCAAGAAGATGAGGAGTGAGTTCGCCGCGGTCCCCTCATCCCCACACGCACGCATCAGGGCAAATCTATGCTGGACCCACCATTTCTGTTTCTGTCTTCTACCTTGTCTCCACCATCGACCGTCGAACAAACATGGTCGTGGTCGACCCATTGCTAGACTCCATTGGATAAATTAAAACTGCCCTTGGGTGCACGGGTGAGTGGTGAAGCTTGCAGTTCCTCCATTTTGGTTAAACTTGAGATTCATTGACTTCTCAAAAAGCGAGAATAACATTCTTTTTGCTTGGGATGGAGAGAGTATAAACAAAAAGTTAGACATTAGGAAGCTATAAGACTACCTCAGTACTCTTCATCCTACAGAACAAACCATGGTACGAATTTAAGGCACCAAAACCCAAATGGTGTGTCTCGAAAATGCTCAGGTGAGAAGTATTTGAATGGCCACATATTGCCACGTTTCTTTGCCAACTTTCGCTAAGGTATGGCTACATAAACGAGTCATGGTTATGGCAGAGAATCAGCCTAAAAGACTATAGCGCGTCTAAACTGTGGCATGGCGGTGTTTGCTCATGAACCGAACACGTTGTTTTTTCTAAAGTTCAAAGTTCAGCAGGAGTGCTAAGTTGATTCTTATTGGAAGTTCAAATAAGTAGGATTTTTCTTGAATTGGAAGTTCTATTTTCCAACGAGTTCAAAGTTCGATTTCCCGAGGTCAAGTTGATTTCCTTTTGACCGAAGTTCAGATTCTTTTCGAATCTCAAGTGTGATGTGTTTATCCTGTCCTGCCATGGCGGCTCAGTTTCTAACAGCTCAAGGGAGGGAACGACAGAACGTCGTTGTCGCAGCGGTTGCAGACGAAGACGTGCGGGGCGTCGTCGGTGTCCTTGATCCCCGCGCACCGGGTGTGCTGCCACGCCTCGCAGATGTCGCAGCACGCCATGCGCTCCCCATCGTCGTCATCCGCTCCGCACGCGCAGTCCACGACCCTCTCGCTGTCGCCGCCTCCCTCGCTCACAGCCGCCGCCTCGTTCCCCGGCTGGACGCCTTTATCCGCCAGCTGCTGCTGCTGCTGCTGCTCGACGACTGTCCCTTCTATCACCACGGCGCTTCCCACGTCGATCAGCCCGAGCACCGGGCAAGCGTCCTGGCTGACGCTGACCCCGGCGACGGACTCGGCCGTGAAGGTCCTCAGGCCGAGGTACATCTCCCTGAACAGCCTCTGCACCTCCCACTTGAGCTCGCCCACCGTTGCATGCGCCGGCAGGGTCACCGTCTCGTACGGCGCCACCAGCTCCGGGCTCCCATTCCTCACAAGCAGCGTGCAACACAGGTTCATGTGGACGTGCCCAACTCCAATACTGTTGATCGGAGCGAAACCTTCGTGGTAATCTTTGACGAAGTGTTTGGTGTCCAAGACCATCCGCGCCGCCACGGGGATCGCGCCGAAGGCGCCGGTGGTGAGCTCCTGGCTCGGCTCCTTGAGCACGTGGCGGTATAGGTGCGTCAGGTCCCTCATGAGCTGCGCCCGCGTGAGCTGGAACCGCACCCTCATCTTGCCGCCGCCGTTGCTCGGCACGCCGCCGCCCACCGCTGGGAGCACGCTGGACACGTCCTCCAGGCAGTACTCGAGCACCTTGGTGACCGGGTTCATGGCGCGGCGCACGACGTAGTTGCCGACGATGTGGTTGCCGAGGGACTTGAGCACGAAGTCGAGGAGTCCCGTGTCGCCGATGTAGGCGCGCGCGGCGTCGCGCACCTCCTGCCGCGTGATCCACCGCGCGGGCGGCTCGGTGCGGCGGAGCGCGTCCACCACGGCGCGGGCCGCCATGTCCACGCGCTTGGCCGACCACCGGCACGAGGCCTCCGACATGATGCCGCGGTAGTCCATGGCCGTGACGGAGGTCGCCGGGAGGCGCGTCCGCAGCTCGAGCATGAAGCGGAGGAGGTCGCCGAGGTTGAGCAGCTTGTGGCCGCTGATGGCCTGGTACTTGGTGACCACCACGGGGAGGTCCTGGCTGAAGCACGACAGGTGCGGCATGAGCACGCAGAGCAGCACCGACTGGAGCGCGTGCAGCGACTGCTGGTACGACGGCAGCGCGACGCCGTAGCTGGGCCGGCCGAACCGGTAGCCCCACCGCCCGAACCAGGTGTCGCCGTACGCGACGCCGTGCAGCAGGCGCAGCTCCATGTGCCCCTTCCTCGCCGTGTCGACGACGCTCACCTTCCTTGCAATGTATATAATAACCAAACGAAACACTAGTCGTCATGAACTCAAGTGCAGTGCACGGGGCATAACAAACGTTGCACACACCTGACGTTTAGGGAGGAGCATATGCGATCCCAGAGGTCCATGATCTGGTGACCGGCGACGAATTCGGAGCCGCCCTCGAAGCCGTGCAGGGCAACGAGGTGGCCGAAGCCGTTGAGGTGCACCACGCCGTGCAGCAGGTGGCCCCTGGAGGTCGCCGTGCCTTTGGACGGTTTCTCCGGGCCGTGGTTGATCCCGTAGTGCAGGCCGTCCGCTTCCACTGACAGTTCCCTCTTGGGCAGCACGAAGTGAAACCTCTTGCTACAGATCAGATGCCGACCCCAACCTGAAACACCACGGGGAATTTCCTGGGAGTGAGCATATATATGACAGTGACCGAGTTGCTCGATCGGTATAGTTTTCTTTCTGCAGATCAGAGTGCAGTCACTGTTCATTGTATTGGTGATTTTTCGGAATTAGTAGCAGTGCTAATAGCCTTATCTAACAGTTATACTAGGCTGTCAGATGTATCATGCACGCGCCCATGATGTAACTCAGAACATAGAACTTGTGTACGTACGCCAGGGCCAGGCGTTGATTGCATGCAAAGGTTCAGCGTCTTTAGGATTAGGATCGACAAAAGACAGCAGCAACGCGGTGAGTACCGACGTGACGGCAGAGGAGGCACTGGCGCTGCGGCAACGCGTCGACCACTTCCTCGACGACGAAGAGCCTGACGACGGTGGGCGGGTGGCGGTGCAGCTCGAGCTGGAACGACCAGCACTTGGTCTCGCCATGCGCGCCGACGGCCTCCAGGTGCGCGAGGCCGAGCAGCGCCCTGACGTTGTCCCTGAAGGCACCCCCGCCGGTGAGCGGCGCCGGGTACCCGGGCTGGCAGAAGGACTCGAACCGGAACAGCATCTCGCCGCGCTTCCGCCGCCGCGAGCTCCCCAGGCTGATCACCATCGTCGTCTTATTAGCGGCCATGTCGCCGGACGCCGCCAGCGGAGCTGGTGGTGCAGGCGCGCGCCTGCGTGCGCTTTATGGCGTACGGTGTGCGACTGCGAGGGAGGGTCGCCGTAGTGGTTCCATCGGCGCTCCGGTCTCACGCGGTAAGTGCCCAGGATTTAGAAAGCTTGGGCGGTCTGGTGAAGGAGTGTGCGCGCGTGATCACGGTGAGCGCTGTAAACAATGTGGCTCGACATCATTCTAGACATGCCGCTCGCAGCATGCATGGTTCCTCTGCTCTGTTCTGTAAAACTTTGCACGCAAAACCTTGTGCTTTCCAGATATGTGTTAGCCGTCAACGCTCCACGGTGGCGTTATGCTAATTGTTGCGGCCAGCTCTTTCCATTGAACAAGATATCGAATTCCATGCACCAAACAGCGCATTTGGAATTTGAAGTTATCGAGAAAAGATGAAAAATACAATTTGAGACATCTCCGAGATTTGGACAATAGCAAGCAGGCACCATGATAAATTTCACTTCAGGTGATGATCACGAATCAGTAGCCCTTTTATATACAGGAAACAGGTAGGGTGTTACATGCAAATTCTGCGCTGTTGTGCTGTGTACAAGCATGTCTGTGGATTGAGGCATCAGGGCATGTCAATGAGATCTGCCTTGCCTAACCGAACGTTAGGAGGAATAGTTTAGGATAGGGGAGCAATATTTTACAATATTCAACCGGAGCAGAGCGGAATGCATGGTCTACAACTTCGGGCCCCGTGGAAGTGTGAAGCGGAAGTAAATTCAGTCACAACTTCCGTGTTCACAGAGTAGGTCGCCCAAATGGCCATTGTGGAGCTCGTTGTTAAACACTACAGTACTATATTTCCATTGTCACAATTAGGCTAGTTTTGCGAAGCTTTACCTCGAATTTTCAATCAGGGGAGTAGCCTGTTGTGCTCTGTGACTGTCCGTGCGACCCAACGTCTTGTAACCGCTCGCATGTCCCTTATATGCATTTCCATGCACTACTCCAAAGTCTGAAGCCTAACCTCGTTGTCCCGTGTAGTATTTGCACCGGAATCTGCAGAAGCAGATGGTGATCTTCATGGTTAGAATGTACAATATGGGGCGGTAATAAGTTTTAGATCAGAATGCCAGTTAAGCTAGTCCAGTAAGGACCGTACTCTGGTCATTCTTCATCAGGTTCTATGTAACTTGTCCGAGTCAGACGAATCTGTTCAGAAGAAGGAACATAAATCAATGCAGCTAGAGACAGACAATGCGTCCCCCAAGAAGATGGGTGAAAATAACATGAACTTCACCTGAGCAAATGCATAGATTGCCTGGACGATCCTAGCATAATCCGTGCCCAGCATTTGAATCACAATATCAGCCAAGAGCGTCCCCCACATTCTGAGCAAAGTTAAGTGCAAAGAAAGGATATTAATTACTAATAGGGCATGACATACCACTCCATGAAGGGATTCTGATTTATATGGTTTGTGGCCCAAGGTCGATACTTAAGGTTTATGAAGCAATCAAAACACCATCCAGCAATAAACAAAAATTTCACAATTTAAACTGCTTGAAATAACAGCGGTGTTTGAAATGTGGTAGAATTATTCAGAGCCCAATATTTGTTTTCTTAAAACAAAATGGGAAGTAACAGTTTCAGATTTACTACTAGAAGAAGCATACATTGGTCCAAGAAATGTCATGACACTCCTGAGTCCAACATATCTCGATGCTGCACGAGCCAAACCCTGCAAATATTCGAGGACTATTGAAACATGACACCTGAATGGTGCAATCTTAGATATATGTGTGAGGATTGGACATATGTAATTGCTAATAACAGAAGATCATATTACCTGCCTAGCTGCAAGCAAACCAGCTCTAGACTCCAGGTTAACAGCAGCCAACCGCCCACCCTGTACATGAAAAAGATCAGTACATTCCAACATTAATTCAATTAAGATGGACTGTCTCCGTCTACAAAAGGAGGCACTTCTCACTTTTCGAGGAGCCAAACGATTTAAAGTTACAATTTCCAAATGAGCACATAAAATCAGGAACAATATAGCAAAATATCAATACAAATAGGTATACCTGCTTAACAAGTTCTTTCTTTATCTCATAATTTGCAGCCTCCTTCAGCAGTTTTCCAGACAGTCTACTGGCTAACTAACATAATGGTAAGTGACATTAATGAAAAACAATAATGCAGTGAGAACAAGTAGTCCCTCCATTCCAAATTGTAGGTCTTTTGGCTTTTCTAGATACATAATTTTTACTATGTATACACAGCATATATCTAGGTACACAACAAAAGCCAAAAGCCCAAAACGACTTACAATTTAGAATGGAGGGAGTAGTATTCAATATTTCAAAGTAAAGACTGTAACATACCGATTCATATATCGTTTTCAAAGTCAATGCACTACCACCCTTCCATAAAGAAGAAAATTTAAATTAGTGGAAAAAATTAGAGGGTTAGAAAGGAAAAGGATAGAAAAATGAGGATTGCAAAGAACCTTTAGAAAGGTACTTTCCATTCCCTTTGTTCCAATCCTCCAAGCCACATCAGTAAGCACCTTCCAGTTGTTTGCACCAAGGCTAGAGGTTTCTTTTGGAGATTTTTGTTTATCCCATGGAAATGAAAGTCGGTCTTTCTTGTGGCTGATGCGTGGAAATTCAAAGGTACTTTGAGAATAGTGGACTCACAAGAGGATCTACATTTAATGAACGAATAGAGTTGTATGGGCTGAAAACTAGCATAGTAAACTATGTTGTATATGAGGATACAAAACTAATGCTTATCCAAGGATTTTTTCTAAGGTGTGCTTATGGGTAAGTACCTTGAATATTCATCCACAAGGTGAAGAAATATTTCTGCCTCAAGGTCTGCAGTACACAATTTGCTAGAGCACCGAACACCAATTTTTTTTCTTACTCTGAGCAAGACATCTCTGTACGATGGTCTCCACCTCCTATGAAGAACAATCGGAGAAAAGTGCAAAATGTTCTTGTAAAAGCTTCAAGAAAATGATGAACTACAGCGAGCTGACTAAGAATGTAATCAATTTAGCAATGGTCATTTAAGGAAAATTGATTTTGGGACATCAAAAGATCATGGTTTTAGAAATATACCACTTAAGTGACCCGGTACACTAATGTCACTGAAAGATTGCGCCAGTCAGAAATGTACCACTCCGTCAGTCTTCCTAGAGTTCTGTACATCCCTTGTTGTCTCCACTTAGCCTCCATCTTCTTCACCATTGACAGATGCCTGAGCACCTCTTCCTCCTCCACCCTTCATTGTTTTCAGACCGCTGCAACTGTGACATGTTGTGACATGTCTAAGGAGCAATGTCCACCATAATGTCCAATCACACACATTCCTCTCTGTCAGCCTGTGTCGCTCTCCAGATCACTTGCCCCTACCATCGGATGGACTTCTTCACAACAGTGTAGACTAGAATCCAGTTTCAGAGCTCAACTAAATCTCTCTTCCAAATTGAATCCGCACACATAGGGGCAAGCAAGGCATTGAATCACTCCCGACCTGATGTAGCAGCTCGATATCAATCAGCAATTAGACCTAAATCCAATCGGTTTAGAATTAAATCATTTCAAACTTGCTCGAGCTGTGCCATGGTTGGTTCCAGTAGAGATTGGTGAAGCAACCTCGCCATGGCACCTTCACCTCCTCACACTGGCACGCTGCTGCAACCCCACCTACTCTCCTCCTCTGCCAGTGCCTCCCATGGCAGCAGGTGGCTTTGCTGGATCTCCTGGTGGCAGAGAATGTGTCACTCAGCATCTGGGCAGCAGGCAGGGCAGATAAGGTACAGGCCAGAGGCAACACCTAGAAGACGAGACAGATTTTAGTAGCAGAGTTGAGGTCGCCAGCCTGTGGTTGCCAGTTGCCAGTAGGGATGAAAGCGGGTTCGGGAAATTCAATGCCGTTCGATGTAGTTTCCATATTATGATATCGTTTCCAAGTTTAGAAAAATATAAAAGTTGTCATTTTCAAATGATTTCACAACTGTTTTGTTAGGTTTAGTCCCACACCGGAAACTGATGGTGGGGTAGTAGAACATATAAGGTGGAGGCACTCCTCAGCTTAGGCTTCCTTTTTGGCTGAGTAGGCCAGAGAACTTGGTTTGTTGTGGGCTCTAGTGGACCTAGGACACCGACTCGTAGGTATAGCAAGCTAGACCGGATCCGCTAGCACTAACAAGGGGTATCAAAGCTAGCTCATGGTCAGGAAACACCTCAGGGCCACATGGTAACGGGGGCTATCTTTTGAGTTCAGTTAGGCCTGAGGCTGAAAGATTACAAGTATACGTGGGAGAGTAGTCTCAAGTCCTAGTACAATTCAGCATCCAACAAAGGCCTTGGTTTGCTGTGGACTACGGTGGACCTGGGTTTGGTAGGGCGCCCCCTCGTGGATATGGAGTTTTTTACTGTTTTCTTATCTGTTCATTCCACAAATCTGGGAAATTCGAAACCGACTGTTTTCATTTTCCATATTGTAATACCGTTCCATATCGTTATCATCCCAATCCACAAGCATCACTGGGGATTGGAGGAAGAAAGCGCTGTAGGCAACGGGTATGAGATGGAAAAGGAAGACGGCAAGATTGACTGAAGACATGACTGTGTGATATATTTCTAACTGTTGTACCTCTCATTGGTATTAAAGTGTACTAGATCAGTTTGGTGCTGTATTTCTAGAGCCATGATCTTTCACTGTCATGGGACCATTTTTTTTTTCCTTTTTTCAATTAGAGATAGGTCAACAAAAGAGCCCCTTGACTGACCTTATTATAGAGCGAGCATCTGCAGCAAGATACAGGAACCTTGACTCTAATTTTGAGATGAAATGATCTCTCTCCTCGATATCATCCAAAACAACAACACCATCTGAGTTCGGTCTTCTTGCAATTGATTTTAGCAATGGACTAAAATAGCTGCAAACAAAGGAAATACAAAAGAAACATTAATTTTGAGAAGGTGAAACAGAGGAACAGTATGATACGAAGAGCTAGCACAATACTAACATTCCATGGTACTTTCCATGTAGAAAAGTCAGGTAGGTGAGTAGGTCTAACTAAATAAGTGAGCAAATTAAAGACCGACTCAAGAAAAAGGAAACAAGGACAAGCTAACTGTTTTCTAAATTCTTAATATCAGACCAATAAGCAGAAGAACACAAAAGAGAGGGAGAAAGAGATTTACCTTTTAACATAAAACCAATACTAAGTCCTCTGTGGCCACTATCTTACATAAACTTGCAGTCCCCCATCATCTTTGTCTCATAGATGATACATTACAATGCATATAGATTTTTATTCTACAAAGGTGTAGCAACTGAAGTTACCACTTATGCATTCCTGTTGCATATTTGCAAGCAGTTAGTTCATTCAATCCTAAATGTAGGTCATTTTTGCCTTTGCAACTTTCCTTTCAGTGTAAATCGTCCTAGAATTTCTTTGAATATTTTACCCTTTTCTTCCATCCTTAACCCTGCTTAATAAATACTACCATTTACAAATGAGCGATCTACTCAATATGGTACAAATGAGGCCAGCATTTGATCTATTTTGACGCAAAGACTGTAATTTTGACTGCCAACAATCTACTTTCTTAATCTTATTACACAGGTCTAAAATGGCCAACATTTGAAATCGGAGTTAGTAGCAAAGCTGGAACCACACTTGCCACATATGTTGTGTTTAATCAAGCATCTTTGTCACTATTACTGAACTTTGAGACATGGAAGTTACTATTAGCTAGCACCAAATACAAACTGCAATAGGCACTGAATTTGGCACAATGCTACCCAAAGATTGCATAAGAGTAATCAACCAAAACACAGTATCAATCTGCACTTGCTTGCTGCATACATACCCAGTCACTTACTTCAGATGCACACCATTATCAGAATCCCAGGTTAACTCATCCAGTTTTGTCTTAAGAACCCAATACTATCATCCAAACCATCTGATGAACTCATATCAGAGCTAAACAGGCAAAACAGCATGAGAAAAATCAGGAAGCACTCAAACCTGGTGCCGTAGAGGATCTCCTCCACCTCCATCAGCTCCTCGTCGGTAGCGAGCTCGAGCACCAGCCTCAGCTCCGGGTCAGACATGCCTTCAGAAATCAGGAACACACAATTTTAACGTCATCCAGTCAGCTTTGCAACAAATCAGAAATTCGTACACGCCTAATACCTTCCGCCGCTGCCGCGGTTGGGGGCGAGGCTGCCGCGCTGGGAGGGAGAAGAGACCTCAGGCGGGAATGGACCCTGCAAGCTACACCGGGACGAGGAGTGGCCGCGACCGCGGGACCGCGGCGGCCGGCACTGGAACAGGAGGTTTGGGTGGAACGCCGCGTGGGTAAGCGGGTGGTGAGGGTGGTGAGGAACGAGAGGGGTTTTGGTGCTACGATGGCGGCCATTGGGCGCGGCAACGATCACCGCTCGCCGGTCTAGGGTGCCGCGGAGGCGGAGCCCAGACCCGCGAGGCCGCGACGAGATTTTGTGGAGCGCCGTGACCGTGATTCCGTGAACGAGATACGGCGGGGCATACGGGCATACCGCAAAACCGCATAGGGCAGTACAGGTCGTTGAAATGTGTGGCCAGTTGGCCACAGCAGCAATTTTCGGTTACCTGTCGCTGAAACGGCTGTTTTGAAAAGCTTGGTTCAACTTTCACTTTCTAAAGTCTTGGTTAAACTCACTTTTTAAATTATTATTTAAAGACCAATTTAAACAAAAATTGTTTTCTACATCTTTTTATCTTTCAACCTTTTCTTTATACCTCGTGCAACTCTAGTCCTCTAGAGAGTCAATCTCACTCTTTATTTTTAACTAGCGAGAAATCCAAAATAGATTATATCAACATTTGAAGATCTAATTAAAATAAGTTGTTGAAGAGTATTTTTTTAAACCAAAATCTCTATTCTTATCAATAAGGAACCATATAAAAAAGCTCTTGAGAGTTGCCTAAGGCCCTGATTGAATTCATCGTTAACTGCTAATTGTTAGCTAGCTAATAGGTCACGGGCTCACGGCTAATTTTAGCTAGCTATAAGTATTAGCTCCTAACAAGTGAGATCAGCTAACAATTAGCTAGATTATTGGCTAGACCGGTTTGAATGGAAAAGAACTCACTATTAGCAGGTAACTATTAACTCTATGGATCCACTAAATATATAGTTTTGAGTAAAACTACTTTGAAAATAAATACTACAGTGGTTAAAGGTCCGTTTGCTAACAAACTTGGTATAAGTGAGTTAAATTTGTACACTTCCTACCTTTGCCCATTTTTACTCTTTTTTATGTAGAGTATTTTAACTATTTTCTATTAAAATTGTGTTCAAAATGTGTTTATGATATCTAATAAGCGCATGGAATTGTGAAATTACTTTTAAAGACAATTTCACTCGTAATTTCTACGTTTCTAAACTTAAATTCTTGTAAAAGCTATTGATTATTGAGGTTTCATGTGGCAGAACCGCCCGAAATAACACACTTACGGAGGTACTTGTCTTCCACTAGACATTAAGCACCCCGAAGTTGAGCTACATCAGCCAGTTCTGTCGAGCACACCCCATGGGAGAACCCGAAAATCCATATTTTTCAACATGATCATAAATGGGAGAATAAAGCTTACAACATTTTAGCCATTTCTTACATCACTTTTCATGCAACATCAGAGTATAATATTTACTGTTTATAACAGCGGAATATAACCATGTTATCAGAGTTTCAGCGAAAATAAAATCATTGAATGATAAGTTAAACATTAACATGATGATCCTTTATATACATCATAACAGGTTATAAGTTTTTCCATTGTAAAACATTTTGGGTGGAAGTTTCAAATAAACTCTATGTCCGCAATGTTAAGGAAATCCTCGCTGAGCCCACCAGGATGTTTCCACACACAAGTGTCAGCTCCATATGTTCTTGTTACTTGCAACAGGGTAGAACAAACCCTGAGTACTCGATTGTACTCAACAAGACTTACCCGACAGGAGGAAAGAAAAGACTCCAAGAATATGCAAAGCTATCTGGCTTGTGGTTTATTGCATCTGCAAAAAGCATTATTAAACATGCGTCCTTATATTCAACTTCATTAGTAGTCATCATTAGTTCATTAACTAACCATTCTATGTAAGCACCTGTGCAACTTTTAAGCAGGTGGTAAGCAATCAGAACCATTTTACCATATTTCATATTCCAGTTCTTACTACGGTGCTAGATCGTAGACAAGTCGTATCGTATTACACGATGATTCACGAACCAATGTATCTCAGCTGGGTACCCCAAAACACACGCCCCGCTTGTACCCCAGGCACAAGCAAGACCAACCCACCACTCTCCTGTCAAGGGGTTCAGGTCCCCATCCAAACTTGGACTCTAAGCCCCCACACCTGAGTCCCGGACTCAGTGTGGTCCTTAGACCTCCATCATCCCTACCTCCAATCAGTCGGTCCGGAAAGAGCCGAAACCCACGACAATAAAGCAACGAGCATTCCCATCCCCATAAGCAAGTATGTGCTCAGGATAATAAGTCTGTGACCTGACTAGAAAATAGTGCAACAGCCGGTCCTTAATCGACACAGGCATGACAAACGCAACCTGAGCCTCGCACGGTTACCTAACCAAGTCCAAATCCAAATTCAAAGTATGGTCCCGCCCGGTCTACAATTATTATCTACATATATTCCATGTAATAGTAACAGGATAATAGTAACAATAATATATTTCCTATCTTTCGCGGGTGACAGGTAATCACTCGACTTCTACCGGATCTTATAGCATAGCAACCTACACGATCCTGACATACTAGTAAGACTCATAGTATAAGGATATATATATATATATATGCAAGTGGTTTTCATTCAACTCCTTAAAACTTAATGCACAAGCATAAGATAAAGTGCAGAATAGTAGAGGTTATGCACCGGGACTTGCCTGGGTAAGATATAACCAAGTTAGCTTTTCATCTTGGTGGCATGATCATCAAGTCACCATCTGCTTCCACTACTCCCGATGACTCCGCGATCCAACATCGCTCCTATCATGAAATACATGGATGCAACTGTAGGGACGTAAATAATCAACGGCATCCACAACTCTAAAATACGATTACGTCTCGCAAGCTAACGAGCTAGCTCTAATGACTAACATACTAAGCCATGTATCCACGTGGTCAAGTGAGGCTTGTTTCCAAAAAATGTTTTTGTTCTACAAACCCCAACTAATTTTTGACATTTGATTGATTAAATATATATTTATGTACTAGGGCTCATTTAGTTACCTTAACAAACTAATTCCTATGGAGCTATAAAAGTTACAATGAGCACCTAATACTGTTAGAAATCAATTGTAAAAATTTTAGGGCCAGTACTACTACCAATTCATCACAATAATTCCTATAAGTTCATATTTTACCTATTTTAAGTGCTTCAAATTAATTAGTCTACTCTTAAAAATTCTATGAAACTAAGTGAACAAAATACATTAGCAGATATGTCATGATTTTAGAAACCTACCAAAATTGGTTTCACAATTTTTGGACACCTATATGATTTTATATGATTTACCAAAAATCAACTCAGAAATGTAATTAGAAAACCATTGCACTAATTCGCTTAAAAAGAAAAGGCGACCAGCCCAGCGCGGCCCACCACGCGGACATGCCCACGCGAGCCAGCCCATGATGGGGGCAACCCACGCGCGTTGGCACTCTTGCAAAAACGCCCTCACGTTACCAGGCATTAGCGCGAGCACTACGCGTACTATTCCTATAGACAACGACTTTGCAAGGAAGCACTCGTATTCTCTCGTCTTCGCATCAGAGAGGTCCCCGATGCCTCCGCGCTCGTTGGCGCGACACTAAGCCGCTACGCCGGCTATCTGGGACTCGTGCAGACCTAGCTAGGGGGTCGACCCTTACCTATGGGTTGACGGCAACTCCGGGCAGCGATGGGACAAGTTGAGACGCAGTAGGATGGCCTCTCCACGAAGACGGGCACCCTACGGCGGTGGCAACCACATTCCGGTGAGCCTTGGCATAAAAGAGGTGATAGAAATAGTGGGTGAGCATCAGCGACTCACCACACACCTACCCATGGCGGTGGCTTGGCCGGAGACGCCTCGAGCAAGCCTGGTCGCGTGCGCGCAGCAAGCATGATGGGGGGGCACCGTGGCACGGCCGCGTCAGCGCCATGAGGGTAGCCGTAGGGATACGGCTTAGGTGCGCACAGTGAGAAGAGGTGCAAGGTGGGTCGGGTGGTGCAGCCAATTTAGCTTGAGGCGGTGAGCTGGTGGCTGCCTACAGTGGTGGCGGGCTGGGTCTTAATGGCGCTGTGGCAGGGGCAAAACTCCAAAATTGGAGCTCGACCAGGCGCCATTCAAGGCGAGATGGGGACGGTCGACTAGAGGACTTGATGGCGGCGCTAGAGACACGACGCCACGACCCGAGATGACTCCTCCCAGCCATATTAACTCACGCGGCTTAGTCGACCATGGCAGGGAGAGCAGAGAGAGAACCAGAGCTTGACATGACCAGCCTTGGCAGGATGCATCCGTCGTGATCTAGCTGACCCGCACGTCGCTACTACACACAACACACACACGCCACCGACCGACACTACCTACGGGGCTGCTGCGCCATAAATGGCAAAGCGACGGTGCGGGCAGCAGAGGAGGGGGCAAGCCCTTGTGTGCGCAGCGAGGGGACGAGCACATCACGGCGCAGTATAAGTGGCAGCGGCATCACGGTAGAGCGGTAGGGACAGTGGAGCAGCAGCGGCTGGTGGCTCACAGCAGAACGCAGTGGGACTGGACATCTGTGCGGTAGGGCGGCCAAGGCACCGGGTCAGCGGTGGTGGCAGAACCGCACGGCAAGGCCAGATGGCCAGCTATGGCCGGCCAAGATGGGGCAGCCACGGCTGACCATGCACGACAATGCGCGAGCGCGCGTCTGAGCACAGCGACACCGAGGCACCATGCGATGGTGACCGCGAACACTCGGCAAGGCAACCGAAGCAAGTGTCGTGCATGAATTTTAAAGCATTTGAAATGTCTAAACCGTTGATCCAATCCCCAAACCACTTTTGCTATACCTTAGAGGGTATATTAGGCTACTAAAACAAGCCATAATGCTACCCTACTCCTTAACCCAATTTCTCTACAAAAATTGCTACACATCACAATGCCTAACCTTCCAAAAGTTCATGAAATTTTCTAAGTGTTAAATGGATTTCTATTTCTAGTTGCACTTTTAAGCTATTGAATATAGTACTTAACAACATTATCTCTAAACGCCAAGTATTTCATTGTCATATACAAATCTCACATTTCAAACTTTATTAAGGTGTCACATACTTGTTCTATAGTATTTTTGTTCAATAAAAATTAGTTTTAAACCCTAAGTGATATAATA